CATGCTTCACGATCCCAAATGTCGATTGGACTACCCACTTGCTCTGATCAGGCTCCACCATGCAGATTTTCAGCCTCGATTACTCCTCCAAGAGCTCCTCCTATAAATACCAAGTTCAAGCTACATTCAAAAGGTTCAAACACCAAACAAAAGCCTCCCACGAAGCAAATTATATTTTCCTGTAATGCACTTTCAATACCTTTACTTGCTTTCCTAGGAGTAGTGTTTGTTTATAAGAAAAATCCATTCATCAATATATCATACGACCCTTGATTTTCAAGGCGCCGAAGCACCATCTCTGTTACGCTTTCATCCATCCCATATATCATACGACCGTCGCTCCCTGAGCAACGTGCCGGAGCAACGCCCAAAATCCACCATCAACACCACCATTAAACGGCCTTGTAGCTCAGGCCGTGAACCTGACGGCCGATATCAGTTCCTCTCTCGGCCACAATCGTTCGATTAGAAGTCAAACCCAAACAGGCGCACCACTCTAAATTAACTAAACAAACCCAAAATCGAAACATTCAAATCATTATCTCTTTCCTTTATACATAGAAAATTCCACTACGGTCAGAAGAATTCACAAAGAACAAAAAACACAAATCAATAGTATTTGAATTTGTTGCAGAGAGAAAGAGAACAAATCGAAGGCACCACGTACCAATGATGTCGACGACGTTTCGAGCTGCTTCAGCGTTCACCATCTTTGTATCGAGTTAATTCTTCTAATTTTCACAGAGATTTCTCTATAATAAAAAATTGCAGAGATATGAAAACGAGAGTTAGAGACTAATAGATGAAGAGAGTGATAGGTAGAGCAGAGAGAGACACACAGATGATGAGAGATAGAGCAGAGAGACAAATGATGAGAGGGAGGAATGTTGCGGCTAGGGTTAGGAAACAAAAGAAGGAGATGGGCTGAGAGGATTGTGAGGGAGAGAGTTGGGGTCCGTGAGTTGGTTTTGGATGAGTCTTCAAACTTTTGGAGTCCAATCAGGTGTGGGAGGTGCATGGTACCACTTTAACCCCCCTATTTTCTTTTGGGTTTTTAAGAAGTGTCCAGTATAGTGGGCCTTTCCTTGATGGTTTTTAAAAAGTGTCAAGTATAAAGGATTTTTCGTTGACGGGTTTTAAGAAGTGTCAGCTATAAAGGGTTTTTTCTTGATGGTTTTTAATAAGCGTCATGTATGAAGGGCTTTAGTTGACATTTTTTTAAAAGCGTCAACGTTTAGTAGAATACTTGATGGTTTTTCAATAAACGTCAACTATGAAGTGTCAACTAAGGCCTATTTTCTTGTAGTGTTTATTCATTACTGCAAATTTCGGTGGAGTTCCAATTCCCAAGGTGATGGTGGATGGAGGTGCATCAATTAATTTACTTCCATACAAGATGCTAGCCAAACTTAGTAGAATAGAGAAAGATCTGATCCCAACTCGCCTAACTGTCACTACTTTCTCTGGGGGCATTACCAAAACTAATGGGATACTTGATGTGGATGTCATTGTTGGATCCAAGAAACTCAAGTTTGCTTTCTTTGTGATGGATAGCACATCCACCACTTATAATGCACTGCTTGGGAGGGACTAGATTTACCAAAGTTTATGTGTTCCTTCTACTCTATGATCAGTTCATAATTGCATATCATTTTGTACCCCTCTAGCTTATGATTTAGTTATGTTATTGAGTTAAACTTGTTCTTTTAATCCCTTTTCTGTTTATCATTCAGTTCATTGGGCCTTAGGTAGCAATGGTGGCTTTGAATAGGAAAAGATGCAAAATGGTGCAAAAACGAGCAGACTGAGTTAGCAATTTGTTTCGGCCTTAACTTCCTCCTCCCAACTTGTATTGGCCCAATTAATATGTGGTTGGAAAGAAGAGATTCGGAACTGAAAGATGGACTGCTAAAACGTATCAATTGATGA